AAATGATTAGCATCCAACTGGTGATTATCGGTGAATCAGAATGAGAACGACACTTAATCACAATTCCCTACCACTTATTCACGACCTCATTGCTAGCTTAAATCGTACTTGTTTTTTTGAAAATCGACTTGGTTTACGTCTCATCATATGGCTTATATTTAAGCACTTTACTAGTCGAAGAGTCCATACTAGAATCATAAATGTCGCTATGTTTTCTGGGTTTTTTTTCTTAATTCCTTAACTTATTCGAAATTTTCTTATCTGTAGACTCATCTCAGTCAGTCAGTCAGTAACAACGTAGAACTTCGTACGTACGTAAATCAGTTCGAGTTGCCACACCACATTAGCACAGAGATGCACTTGTCGATTCAAATCCCGTAGTGGTAGAGGTAATAAGAGTATAAGCAGTAATCAGGATAAATTAGTGTTTGGAGATGTTATTGAAGGAGTATAATCCAGTGAAATAAATTTGGAAAGAGGAAAAAAGGGACATGAAGAATTCAGAAGATTAGAATTTGGGAGAACACAGAGAGTGGATGCACCTGCACCATTGCAAACGATTTTGAGCCATGTTATTCAGGGTCTCTAACCATCGGTTGCTATCATCTCGCGGTCCCCAACCACGTAGTCCGCACTTACCAACATGACTCAGTCCACTTGTCAGTGACTTCATGGACTTGTGCCATGTTTTGGTTTGGCCGTCCCTAGCTTTCTTCCAACCTACTCCTATACCACTGAACATAGCACGTCGAGGCAGTCGGTCGTTGGGCATACGTAACACGTGTCCCAGCCACCTCAACTGATGGAGTTTCACTACTTCATCAATTGATTTGCCATCCTTACCTAGTACCCGATCCCTAACAACTGTGTTACTTACTCGATGGTCCCACGATATACGAGCAATGTTTCGAAGACACCTATGATCGAATACTAGTAACCTACGAATATTCTCTACTCTTACCGGCCATGTTTCACTGCCATAAAGAAGGACGGAACGAACTGCTGCGCAGTAAACCCGTCCTTTGGTTGATAGACGGATATCTCGCCTACGCCATAAATGACACAAGTTGGCAAAAGCTAGTCGAGACTTCTGTATCCGTGCTGAGATTTCGTCACACACTAGACCACAAAGGTTGATGAGACTTCCAAGATAAGTGAAGCGGTCGACACATTCAACTACTTCACTCCCTATCACTAGTTCGGGTGTCAAGTAGACTCATGTAAGTCTTCAGAGTAACATATCGTCTGTGTATTCACATCACGCTGATGATAGACTTGTTTGATACTCTTTGCAGTATTAGAGGCTGTCTCTAGTTGGTTATTTGCTGTAACTCGATCATGTGATCCCAACTCTCCGTCTTCTTACACGACGCTGACAAGGGTGTTGTCTCTGAGTGGCTCTTACGTTTTACATGGAATAAACGAACTAATATTTTTACTCGAATTCATTAACTGTTTAGCATCGTTACAACAGCTAAATTTAAACAAAAGGGAGCATGTTGACTCATCCAACTTTTTTCTGTAGCGAACGAATTGGCAGCTGAAGTTCAGCACAGCACTTTCGAGGGCTAATATTCCTTAGCTTGGTGGGGTGTGCGGTCAGTGCCATTGTAGGCGACCACACTGTAGGAAGACACCACTCTTTTCGTTGCTTCGTCAGCCACGAACCAAATGATTCATTCGGTTTTAGTGAAGTGTTTGGGGTTTTTATTATTATTTAAAGCCCTTATATGCGTGGAGGATGCTAATTGATTAAGATTATTGTTAATTTCAGCAGGTGAGTTTCCTATCTGCCTTGTATCGCCACTATAGAAATCAGTATTTTGGTGTCAGAATATTAGACGCCGCAGTTTGTGAGATTTTTATTTTTGACCTAAGTAAATTATACTGATGGGTACACTGTGTTAACATGTCAGTGTATGCTGGTACCAGATGTTTTATATTAGCCGGTCCCGATCTCCCAAGTTTGGGAAATTTCGGGGAAATCCTCAAAGTCAAATGACGTTCACCCAGGTTAAAGGAAAATTTCGGGGTTTTGGTATCATTTCCACAAAAGTTTCTATAGCTCCTTCCCCCAAATCGGTCTTACTGTCGACCAAACGCACAGAGATGGACGTAATGTCACTCGAAAAATCGAGTAATGATATCTGTAGATAAGAGGCACAGAGTTCAGAAGATGAATGTTTGACTTTGCCAAGTACTGGCTTAGTACCAAAATCAGTAACTGCGGTAAGTAGAGACTTTAGAGACCGGAGGTTTAGATATTTAGTGATGTGTCTGACGTCAATTAAGTATTTGTATTTTAATTAGCCTGCCCAGGAGATGAAAACTGACAAAGGTTAAATGATATGGTCTGTTACACCAATGCACGAAGCTTACTTAATAAGCGATCGGAACTAGGTGTACAGATTGACTCTATAAAGCCAGATATAATCGCAGTAACAGAAACCTGGCTGACACAGGCTATAGATAGTATAGAACTTGATTTCGAGGGCTTTACGTTAGTAAGGGCCGACAGGACACAAAAGCGCAAAGGAGGGGGAGTAGCTCTATTCATTAGGAATGCTATCCCATTTACCATTATCGATAGTGTATCCCATGAGAGTGGGACGTGTGAATTAGTTAGTCTTCGCTTAAAATGCAAGGGACAAGAGCTGCTGATTGGTTTGGTCTATCGCAGTCCAAGCTGTGAGGCAAATGAGATCCTGTTAAGCAGTCTCAATACTTGGTCCCAAAGTGGTCGATGTCTAATCCTAGGGGACTTTAATGCACCAATGGTAGACTGGGAAAATCTGCGAACTGAATCGTCAGAAAATTCCTTCGAGCAGGAACTAGTTGATGCGGTTATCACATGTGCCCTAGTGCAACATGTGAAAGAAGCGACTAGGTACGACCCGGACACTGAATCATCCTTATTAGATCTTATACTGACTCACTATGAGGATGATGTTGCGAACCTCCACCATATGCCACCCTTAGGTAAAAGTGACCACGCAGTTTTAACTTTCGACTTCCATATAACTGCCAGTCATGAGGACGCGTCAGTCCAGTCCAGACCCAACGTCTGGAAAGCAAACATACCAGCCATCATGCATTCAGCATCGTTAATAGATTGGACAATAGACCCAGAGTCCTCCATTGAAACGGCCTGGGACACATTTCGAAAATCATACTTAAAAGTTACCACACCTCACATCCCTTGGACTATACCAAAGGGGCCGAAAAACTCACCACCATGGTTCAGTAGGGAGGTCCGTATCCTTCTCCGTAAGAAAAGGAAAACGTGGGATAGATTTAGGTTACTGGGGACTGATGAGTCAAAATCTCAGTATCGAAAGGCTCGGAACACTTGTGCCTCGACCCTCCGTAAGTCTAGAAAATTGTACGAAGAAAAACTTGTTAAGGAATCCATAGAATGTCCTAAACGCTTGTATTCCTATATAAACCAAAGGACAAGGAGAATAGGAAATATTCCTGCTCTATGGGGAGACAGTACTGCTTCATCATTAGTGGAGGACGACTTTGGTAAGGCTCAAGCGTTCTCGAACTACTTTAGCAACGTGTATACCATAGAAGCGCCCTTCTCGTCAGCGTATACGGATCCCCCCATACATACACTGGATAGCGTGACCATTAAAGAACTCGATGTCTTTGGTCTGCTAAATAAGCTTGACATAGGTAAATCCACGGGGCCCGATGAATTACATCCTAGGCTACTGAAGAAATTATCTAACTTCGTTGCGAACCCTTTAAGTACATGCTTTAACCTATCCGTTACGCAGGGTCGCTTACCGAAAGATTGGAAAAACGCCATAGTAAGTCCTGTCTTCAAAACAGGCACGAAACACAAACCTGAGAACTACCGCCCCGTTAGCCTAACTAGTGTGGTTGTTAAAATATTAGAAAAGATTATTCGGAAGGAGCTGTTTAAGTATCTCGATAAAAACCGGATCCTCTCGGAGAAGCAGCATGGCTTCAGAATAGGTTATTCTTGTCTCACTAACTTATTAGTGGCTCGTGAAAGCTGGTGTGCTCTTAAGGACCAAAAGCTACCTGTAGACGTCGCCTTCATTGATTTCAGTAAAGCTTTTGATAAAGTTCCGCACAACCGGCTGTTATATAAGTTAAGACATGTCGGGATTGGAGGTAATTTATTGATGTGGATAAAAGACTTCTTAGTTGGGCGTCAACAAAGAGTAAGGGTGAACTCAAAGTTATCTAGCTGGGAAACTGTGCTTAGTGGAGTGCCCCAGGGTACAGTTTTGGGGCCAGTGCTATTCCTCTTGTATGTAAATGACCTTCCTTGTCTCCTATCATCATCGGTCTTGCTATATGCTGACGATGTCAAGATATGGAGAACGATACGATGTAAGAGTGATAGCTTAGAACTTCAAAATGACTTGAAGAAGTTATCTGAATGGTCTCAAACATGGCAGTTGCCGATAAATACTTCCAAGTGTGTTGTGATGCATATCGGTCATCAAGGCACAGATACATACACGATGAATAACACTGAGCTACCTGTCGTCCAGACATATAATGACTTAGGAGTTATCGTTAGTCAAGACTTAAAGACTACTGCACACTGCCGTGCAATAGCCGCCAAAAGTTTTAGAACGTTATGGTCAATACGTAGGGCTTTTAGTCACGTCGACACTAAGACGTTTATGACTTTGTATACAGTGTTCGTTCGTCCTAAACTTGAGTACTGCATACAAGCGGCTAGCCCCTGCTTTAAAAAAGACAGAGAGCTTCTGGAAAAGGTTCAGAGAATGGCGACTAAGCTGGTTCCCGCAATAGCGAAGCTTCCGTATGAATCTCGACTGGCCAAGCTGAACCTTTTCCCGTTGTCATATCGCAGAACTAGAGGCGACTTGATTACAGTCTACAAATTGCTTAGTGATAAATTTGCACCTAACATGCCCTCATTTTTCTTGTCTTTCAAAACAGAGAATTTACGAGGACACTCCAAAAAAGTTCATAAGCCGAGAACAAATTACTTGTCAGCTGACTATCGACTTTCCCATCGAATCATCAACGAGTGGAATTCACTACCTCAGCACGTGGTTGAGGCTCCATCCGTCGACTCTTTCAAAAGAAAGTTGGATCAACTGAGAGACCACCATTGCCAGGACTAACATAGGCCATCGAGCCTCCTGTCCTTCCCAAACTGAAACTGAAACTGAAACTATAGAATATTTACAAAGGTCAGTTTACGATAGATATGTATTAACTTCATGACAAAAGTTTCAGGAGGAAACTTAATCTGCTATACAATATAGTGTCGTAACATTAGTACAAGACACTCTAAAAATTGACTAGCCTTAAACATACCTGTATCACGTAAGGTATTCCCACTTACAGTGTTCGCGCCAGGTTATTAAGCACTTGAAGGTCAAACTGTCCAAACGGTTCAATTCAATCGACCGTGAAACGAAGTAGAATGCTTTAAATTTGATTGATTTTCTCAATCTTTTCATGCATATATCACAAATTCGCTTATGTTCATATTCATTTCGAATATTTTGAAAATTACTCAGCATACCTGAAGGAATTGTGGTGGACCAAACAATATATGAACTCAAATGCTCAAAGCCCTGTAGTTTTCCAGGCTTCAAAACGTCGACATGAAAAATGTAATAAGAAATTTTCCAGTCGGCACATGTTGATGTCAACCGTAGCTGGCAAACATCGCCGTCTGCTTTATATCACCGATGTTGTGACGTAAGTTTGCTATTTCATCTACACTGACGAAACAGTAGGAGCTCTTCTCGCCATTTTTAACGAACCATTACATGAACCAGTTATCAACTCAAAGGTGACAAACGGGAAATTCATTGCTACATGCGGTAAACCATATGTTTATTTTAACATGTCTTTTCGCAAACTTATTCATTGGTTTTTCGTTGTTACGAGTGTTTCTATGTCAACCATTGGTATGGATCTACTACAACATCATAATCTACACACCATTACGTAAAAATGAAGGTGAGTAGACAGCAATGCGGCAATTATCTGTTTTTGGAAATTTATTTTCCGGCTGTTGGACATCTCCAGTCACTAGTAAACACAAAGTCGACCCATTCTATCAACGGATGCTGGATAGGTACCCCGAACTATACCAAGCACGACCAAAATCGCTGCGCGTAACCTCCAATCTTACGAATAACATCACCACAACAGGACTACCCGCATTTTTGAAGAAACGCTGAATATCTCTCGAAAATCTAAGGTAGGCCATTAAGGAATTTCACCACATAATAAACGCAAGAATTATTCCGCCATTGAACAGCCCAAGGGTGTCTCTATTCTATATGGCCCCTAAATGGACAGCAATGATTGTTGATCAACTAGTGAATATTGGTCACTGAATACGAAAATCATTCCACATAGTTTTTGTTCACTCCCAATTAAAGATTTGATAGCTATCTTTAAGGGAACAGCTGTTTTTCCGAAAGTTGATCTAGTTGGACCATATAACCGTACTCCTATGGCTTCATACGCTGCCTTTAGAACCGTTATCGTCGATTTCTTCGGACTCACGAATTTTCGCGCATGCCTTCCGCTCAAATATGTGCTAAAAAACTTTCCAGAGATTCGTCGACGACGCTTTTAGATGTTCCAATTTCGTACGTGCATATATAGATGACTACCTGAACACAAGTCCGGACTGGGAACCTCAGCACAAGCACCGGAACCTTGTTTTCGGACTACCAAAAAAATATGACATTGATCCGAGCATCTAGATTGCAACTGACGTCATGGACATTTTCCGGCATGCTAATGAAGCACAAGATATCCACTTACTGCAAAGCAAAGCGGTGACCATTCTGGATTATCCTAAACCAGCCACAGTCAAGGAACTAAGTGTGTTCGTCGGCCAGTTGAGTTCTTGTCAACGGTTCACGCCAATTTGCACGTCTAGCATGAGACCCTTAAAAAATTATATTCGTGGAAATGCGAAATTCATCGATTCGAACGAAAGCATGTGGAAGCATCCTTCACATTTAAAGGAATTATCACAAAAGAAACGATGCTCCCACGCACTTCATCAAGGCATCTATTAGTGACGCTGTAGACACATCTGACTAGGCAATAGGAATATTCTTACAACAATAGGTGAACAACACCTGGCAACTTTTCACATTTTCTTGAAGACGATTACAAAACACTGGATCGATGGTTGGAACTTTTGTTAGGGAACTCCTAGCCATGTGTTGTGCTGTACGACACTTTCAACACTCTGTGAAAGGCCGAAAATACGCTCTGTTTCCCGATCATAAATCTATTAGGCTTTCTCTTGACTCTTCCAACAAATACTCTCCTCGAGAGTCTCGACACCTGGACCACGGTTCGCAGTTGACTGAAGGTACAACAGATTTCTGAGGCACATAATGTGCTGACAGACGCCTTGTCCAGTGCAATCTCCTTCAAGTTTTTGAACTTCTAAAACTCGTGCAGCTTCAAGAGTAAGACGCTGAACATCAGCAAGAATTGTCTTCAATAACGCTTAAACTAGTGATCGAACAGGTGGAAATGGATCAGGAAACTTTGCCATGTGACACATTTACGGGTGAGGATTGCCCAATCGTGTCAATGTATTTTCGACTTAACGTCTTCAATACGTTTCTTAGGTAAGCATCCAGCTCATCTAAGAACGATATTATTGTCCTGGGAATAATAAATAAACGAGGGAATGGGCACACTCCTGAGTAAAGTGCGAAATCCTAAAGCGATTGGACAGAACATGCATTCCTTGGGCTCGTTCACAACTCCGCATGCTCGTTTCAACTATGTTCATCCCGATGTCCTAGGACTCTCAATAAATTCAGACGGATACTCCTATCTATTAGCGTGTGTGACCCATGAGCAGGACCCATCAAAGGCATAACCGCCGAAACATTAGCTGGCGCGTCGTCGAACACCACAGGCTATAGGTGCTAGATCGAATCCGAACTTTTCCGTTGTTTCACTACACTCCTAGAGATCGCACTATTCCGAAAAACCTCCTATCACCCACGAGCTATCAGTGTAGTGGACAGGCTTTATTGACAGTAGAAAGCCTTACTTCTGGATGTCAACGTACCACAGTGGTCTGACGCTCTCCCCAATGATATTCGCAAGGAAGTGAAAACCGGCGTTTGATACACTGCACCACAAGTCATCTACGGAATGACACTCCTTCAGCGTTTTCAATCATTTTGGGTTTAAACTCTTACATGGCTAGGCTTCAAAACACTATGCGTTCATTTAAACCTGTTTCCACTCGACTTCGCTCAACTGACGTCTTCACCAACTTAACTCGCTAAAAAAGCACTAACATGATTGAATTCACTGTATTATTATTATTATTATTATTATTATTATTATTCACAAACATCTTATCGGTACCTAAGTGTTGTGAAGAAACCATTTCGGGTTTCTTCAAAAAATGCAATAATGCACAATTTTCAATAGTGTTAGCATAATACTTGCCATATTTAAAAAAATTTAGAGTAATAATAGTAGAATATTAATCGGGTCTGTATAATTGAGAAGAATATTGAATTGAGTTTAAAGAAGGAAATGGATAAAATAAGGGAATAGAAATAAAGGAGACGTGAAATACGCAAATAGTTTAATAGGCGTGTTTATGAACACAGAACAAGAATAATCGAATATGTATGCATCGTCAAATTAATAACAAAAATAAAATAGAAAATAATTAAGAAAAAATAACTTATTATTACAGTGAGAGACGACGCTAGAACAAATGTTTGTTCAGTCATAGTTTGGAGTGATGCGATGAAAGTCTCAACTGAGTGAAAAGGATAATGAAATATCAATATGTATGAGTCATATATGCAAAGTGAAGATAAAACGGGTCTGAGAAGTTAATTTAAGTGTAACACAAGTTATTGTCTTAATTACAATCTTCGTAATCTTAAGAATAATATTTATCTAGAAGGGAAAAAGAGAAAAATGAAGTGGACACTTAGTGAAAAAATTCATCCATGATAAGAATAATAATTGTGTAATGAATATCAACCTCAGAAGGAAACCAGAAATTAAAAAAAAGAAAAAAAATAAAATAAAATAAAATAAAAATCCTTTAAAGCACTCGAATGAATACATTTAGATTTATGTAATAGTATACAGAGTGAAACCGGATATTAGTATAAATATTTGTGCAATAATAATTAAGAATTATGCTATGAAAGTCACAATCAATTTCAAAGGACAGTCAGGAATTAAGATAAGAAGATATAAAAGGAATATCTAATGTGTCGGGGGAACAATAATGATATTAATAACAGTAATAATTATAGATACGAACGTAAGCAGACTTCATATATCAAGATGAATAAAAATAAAATAAAATAGACGTGAAGATATTTAAAGGTTTTATTTTGCTTTCCAGGCAATTAAATGGATGATGGACCTTGTTTGTATAAATCATTATTAAATACATTGATATTCAATAGGTGACATAGTCCACTTTCGGAAAGAAAATCTTCAAGCAGACTTCTGAACCGGGTTGTAGTTTCACTGCAACGGAGGTTCACTGGCAGTCTGTTCCACATGGTTGAGTAGCGAATAAGGAAAAAATTCTGACGTAAGTTTGTGTGGGCTCTTGGAATCGCTAGAATATTCTCCTTATTGCGTAGATTGTGGGATGATATCATAAGGTATGAAGGGGTGGATACCGAAGAGTAGTAAATGCTGTTAATAAGCCGGTAGATAAAGACAAGATTTAATTTGATACGTCTGATCCAAAGAGGTTCTAAGTTGAGTTGTTGACATCTTTAATGATAGTCTTTGTTATCAGGATACCCCAGAACAGCTTTGGTGAACTTTCTTTGAACACCTTCAGTTTTAATCAGGTCATTATGTCTACAATTACTGTAAACTAAAATACCATATCCAAGAATGGGTAAGATACATTTTCTGTATAATAACAATCTCGATTCGATATTATACAGTTTATCATTATCAATCCGATCAGCTTTCTAGCTTTGGATACTTGAGACATAATGTGCTCAGAAAAGTTCAGACTGTTGCTATATCTTAAACCCAGGTCACGAACAGTGTTGAGAGGTTTGAGTGTATGTGTGTGTACAGTCAGATTTAAGTTAAGGCAGCGACCAATGTGAATAAATCCACTTTTGTCAACAGTAAGTGGCATATTCCACGAAACGGTCCATTCGTATAACTTGTTTATGTCCTCTTGGATTACCGCTGAAATATAGCTTTCTTTCGTGGGAGAAGAGAATGAATATACTACTTTCAGGTCATCAGCAAAAAGGAAAGGCTTACCATACT